CATTAAATAAAAGATAAAAAAATAAAAAATAAAAAAAAAAGAATTCATCTTCAGGAGTTAGTATTGTGGTGCAGTGGGTTAAGCCACCACCTCTTTAACACCAGCATCCCAGTGAGCACTAGTTCAAGTCCCGACGGCTCCATTTCCAACCCAGTTTCCAGCTAATGCACCTGGGAAAACAGTGCAAAATGGCCCAAGTACTTGGGCCCCTTCCACCTACTTGGGAGATTCTGATGGAGTTCCTAACTCCTGGCTTCAGCCTAGCTCAGTCCCAGCTGTTGCAGTCATTTGGGGAGTGAACCAGCTGATAGAATGTGTGTGTGTGTCCTCCTCTCTCTATAACTCTGCTTTTAAAATAAATAGTAAATCTTTCTTTAAAAAAAACAAAAACAAGAGTTCATCTTCAAAATCAATTTATAAAAGGCAAAATTAACAAAGTACTAGGAATACAAAAACAAATTTTAATGATATAAATACAAAAACATTTTATACATAAAAACATTTTAAATACAAAACCATATACAAAAACAAATTTTTAATGTATATAAATATAAGGGTACTGCACCCACGTGGGAGACCTGGAAGAAGCTCCTGGTCCCTTGGCTTTGGATCGGCACAGCCCAGCTGTTGCGGCCATCTGGGGAGTGAACCATCGAATGGAAGACCTCTCTCTCTCTCTCTCTGCCTCTCCTCTCTCTGTGTAACTCTTTCAAATGAATAAATTTAAAAATTCTTAATAAATAAATTAATTAATAAATTTTTAAAAAAAGTTTTTAAAAGTCTGTGGAAGACAAAATTTATTTTTGTGAAAAAACATTTTGAAAGCCACACATGTACATGTGTATATATATATGATATAAAGTACATATCTTAATATTTAGGAAGATCTGCAATGTTTTTTAGATTATAATATAAGTACATGTATTATTTGTTGGCACTAGATCCATCAATAGAATAAATTTAATATATTAGGATTCTCAACTGACAATGTTGAATTTTACCTGAATCCTGTATACCTAGAACCTACAAAGTTTAAAGAAATACTCCTACACTTTTGTGTTCTGAAAAATGTTACTGCAAAATCCACCCCTCCCCACATTACTTAGGTGAGACTTACAGATAGATGCCTCTCCTTGTTTATCTATGACAGTGTCAGACCCAGATCCTCAAAAATTCCATTTTCTAAGATTCATTTACATATCTGAATGAGTTACAGAGAGAAAGGGAGAGACAGAACAAGACATCTTCCATCCCCTGGTTCACTCCTCAGGTGACTGCAATGGTCAGTCCTGGACCAATCTGAACCCAGAAGCCAGGAACTTCTTCCAGGTTTCCCACGAGGGTAGCAGGGGCCCAAACACCTGAGCCATTTTCCATTGCTTTTTTCAGGCCATTAGCAGGGAGCCAGACCAGAAGTGGAGCACCTGGGACACAAATTGATGCCCATAGGGGATGCCATATGGGACGCCAGCATCACAGGGAGTGATGTCATGATGTCAGCCCCTCCCTTTCTCTTCTTCATAAGTGATTAGTTGAATTGTTTTATCCCCACTGATAATCAGAACAAAACACAAGTGGGGTCACATGGTAAAACATTTGTCTAATCTATGTATCCAGTCATGCTATCCTGTCATTCCACATTTCCTACATCCAGTTCTTTCTAGCTAGTTTAATCCTCTCTAGGGGGAAATAAACAATAAAATAAAAACCTTTACCTAAACCTTTTGTTTGCAGATCTTTTATTTGCAACATTCTTCCTATTGTAATAGTCTCTCTTCTATTTCAACAGCCTCTTTCTTCTCTTGGAATATTCCTTTAAAAAACTCTCTCCTTACAAATCCATCTTTGGTTTTTATTTGACACTATACTAGGCAATGGGTGAGAATAACCCCAGAATCACAAATAAGAAAGCTAGAGAAATTTTATGTCTTTCATATTAACTTTTTGTAAATTTCCACATCATTGTTACATTATCTGTAACATAACCTCTCATTTAAATTTGAATCTTTTTGTCTCCTGAAAATTATCCAGGTCTCTGTTCCAAAAAAAAAC